GGTCCGGATCAAAGCTGTTGCCCTCGCCTTCTGATGTGCAGTTTACACAATTTGGAGAACGAGGAACAACACATACTTTGACCATATCAGGTGTTCGCCTCATGATGTTGTTATGAAAATCAAAGTTGTGGTTTACCGAATACTGTTCACCATGTATCCAACTGCTGCTATTGATTTTTAATATCTGGTTTTTATGCTGCTTGTTTGGCATTTGAGTGCTGATTTTTCAGCTTGTTTGTGCTATTTTGGACATTCGTACTTTCTGGCCTTTTTGTTTTTGATTGATGTTTGACTTAGGCTTGTAAGGGATCTCTCCCCGTTGTATTTGGTGTTTGGACAGCAGGTTTTTGCACTGTTTGCAAACTGCCTGCTATGGATTTTGTTTTCCCAGGGGTATGCCCCGTAGACTGTGTATTCAAATTTTTGAATGAGTTCAACATATACATTTTACCTGTTGTATATTTCTGGTGCATTGTAGGCTCGTGTGACTACAATAAGTAAGGTGGTTAAGAATTCAGGAAATATCATCATTCTTATTGATGAAGTCCCTACTCTAAGTGGATCTGGCATGGATAGGAGAGGAAGTACGGAATTCAGACTTGACATTGATGGCAATGTCAAATTGGATGAAAGGAGGAGACAGATCAAGAGTTCATTGATGGGAATAGCCTTTATATGATATTACTTCTGAGCACAAGAGATGGTGAATGGGGAATATATCTCAGTAGTCCTAAATCTGAAAAGCATTTGGAGGATGGTGAGACTGCACTAGGGAGCTGTGAAGCTGTGGTAGAAAGCATATTATATCCTAAGATTATTGATGGAGTGCAGCAGTTTGTTTCTGAGAAAAGAATAATCTATGTTTGTATTGATGGGCAGTCTTCTATTCAATCATTCCATAACTCAAAAGAGGCTGAAGAAAGAGCTCATAGACAAGAGCAAAAGAATGCAGTCAACCTGTATATCCTTTGTGCAAAGGATGCCTCGGATGAAGTTCATTGGCAGAACTTGAATAAAAGTTTGCATCGAGTTTCATCGGCAGTGAATGGAAAGTATGAGGCAGTCCAGGAAATAGAGGTTGATATTGTTTCTTACCTTGAAAGAACGGCTGGAATTGAAGAAAAGTCATGTGAGAGGGAAAATGGTGAAAGTCTTTCACAGCCAACAGAAAATGATAATGGCTGCTATAAGGAATCAAATAAGATGATGACTAATGGTGATCAAGAGCAGAATGAGAGTTTTGCATGTCCATCATCTTCTCGTGCAAACAACCTTGAGCAAGCTACTACCAATACCAATCATTGTGACCTCATTGCTGAAGCTCTCGGTCCAAATGGGAAGATTTTGCCACATCATGTATCCGAGCTGAAGTATTGGGAAGGCAGAGGCGCGAGGAAGAAGCTGAATGACATGGCTGTTTCTTACTCCCCACCTTGAGGACAAGGTGGTTGTCAAAGGGGGGAGTAATGATAGGGACCTAGATAGTGTTAGTGATAAGAATAATATTGTCTTTTAATAGTGTATAATAAAAGGGTCTTAGGCCCTGTAACTAAATAGCAGTGGGCTGACCCATAAGAAATATAATAAATATGAGTTGGGGCGTAGAAGAAGGCAGGCAGAAATTGAGAATAGGAACCGGGACTCTTGGGAGAGATAGGCACTCTCGAACTTGCCTCTATACTTCTTCTATTACGTTTCTTCTGTTGCTTTGTAATTTCCTAAGAAAATCTGAGGAGTTCTCAGAATTCCTTGATTGAATATACTATTGTTTTTACTGTTTGGATCGATGCCTAACAGAACTTTAAAACAATGTCGTCCAATATACTACCTCCGTTCTCTTTTAATTGCAACATTGGATTTTTTACACTATTCATATATTCTATTTTGACTACATTTTATCAATTAAAGTATTAAAAATGAAATTTTTAAAAAATATCGTTAAATTCTTCTTATTCTAAATTTTCAAAATATGAATTTTTTAATTTTTTTAATAATAAGGAATGAAAGATATTAATGGTCAAACTTGTGCGTTGGCAAACGTGAAATGTTGACTGTTGCAATTAAAAGAGAACGGAGGAAGTAATATTTTATCAAATACTCCCTCCGTCCCTCAATACTTTGCCATGTTTGACCGGCACGGGAAATAATAAAGTAAAAACTGAGTGATTGAGATATGTGCAGAGGAGAGAGAAATAACAGGAACCACAAACTCATTGATTAAAAGGGGAAGTGACAAAGTTTTTGGGACATCTAAAAAAGGAAAGATGGCAAAGTTATAAGGGACGGAAGGAGTATTATGAAGCTTAATTCTATTAATTTTAATCACAAATTCATTAGTATGAAACTAGATTGATAACTTTAAACTGCAAATTCATTAACTTTAACATATAATATATGGCATTAAATTTAATCCTACACATTTAAAAATAAATCAATATGAATCGAGACCAAACAAGAATTCAAAATTGATGATGATAATGTTTTCAAGTTTTGAAGTGATTCATTTTAATTTTTTTTAAAGCTAAATACACAGTCAACGCTATTTAATAGATAGTTGGTCTACTAAACAAGTATTTTGGATTAGGCCTTAAGAAAAGTGTGATATGACTGCTCAATTTTCATTAATAACATCTAGGCAGGACCGGTCGCGTATTCATGTTTATTTACAGCCTATGGGTGATGCTCTGTTGTGGGCCTATTTAAAAAGTGTTGTAAATCATACTTGCTTAAAGTATGAAGTATAATAATGTTATGTAAAAGAACCATAATACAAATAAAAACTTATTTATAATGAGATGAGTTGAATATTTAAACAAAAGTAGTAACACAACTACACAAGTATCAAATAAAGTTAATAAGAATTCACTTCAACTTTTCAAAATGGATGCAGGTTCACTTATATGATGTTTATACAATCGACACTTATCTTCTCGACTCTTAACTCCATTTTAGGGCATTTTTGTTTTTGTGGTCATATTCCAGAAAATAATTAACGTGAACAAAACTATTGATCTAAAAATTAAAAAGTAACCTTTGCACTGAATATATAGAGAAAATTGTTGGGCCTTGTATCGATGCTTTTATGACGCTGTGCTATTTTACACCATTAAAAGCGATCATCCGAAAACAATTGGATGATGGCAAAATGATAAAGGGTTTACATTACTTAACTCAAAGATGTTACTGTTTCATTCAATTATTAAAATAGATCACAGGATTAAGACTTATTATAACAAACGAAAGAACTCGCAGGTGTGTTTTGTGACAATTCAGCTTAGGAATTGTTATCAATTTTTATAGACCTAAGGTTGTCACCTATGTTGCCTGCCCCTAAGGCCGGCCCTGGGTCTAGGCCAAGGACGACCCTGCTTTAAGAAACAACTAATAAGGTATGGAGTAGTCTAGGGTCATTAGAAGTGTAATAAGTGTACTAGAAATTTGGCACACATTCATGATGATGAAAAGATGGGCATATGATCCCAATGAATGAATGTCATGTATGATTGCCTTCTCCCTATAACTTACATTTTTAATGAACCCCTAGACTAACTCATAAAGTGGGTGCTTATCACTATCAGCTTGATGTTTTAAATCTTAGAGAGTGGTGATTTTAAAAGAAATTATAGAAATTGCATGATGAACAAAAATATCATGATTTTGATCATGTCAATTTTGATGTGAAGATAGAAAACTCAAAACTTTATTTTTCTGCTTTGCAGAACTTTGCATTTAGTTTCCGATAACAAAAAAAAACTATAGTAAACAAGGCCGAAGTAACTCGTTTTTCAGAGAAAGAGTTCCAAAAAGACATACATTTTCTTGCAGCACGTACGAAAATCAGTAGAAACACTTTTACCCACATTCCAGCAGCTTAAAAAGCAACACTAGAAAGCAAAAAAAAAATGCCGGAGGTTCCATACTGCCGTGCACCGGCCATGCCCAGATCTGGGCGAGAAAGAGACAGTAGAACGGCACTTACCTAAATGCGTTTACTTTAGGGTTCTGAGGGAGGAGGAAGTTGTTGGGAACAGATAATCCATGGAGAGAGCTCAGTAAGCGTTACAAGATGAAAAATTGTTTAAGAGTGGGAGAGTGATAGCTGGATGGAGTAAATGAGGGGAGACCTTCTTGCATCATTTAGAAAAGCTTTTGTCTATGTTACGCCCAACCGCTGTCTGCAGCTTTATTCGATTTTAGGGAAAAAATACCCGTAGTAGTCAAATATTGAGTTGAAATACAAAATAGCTTAGAGCATCTTCAATGCTATAATGTCCACGGTGCACATGTGTCATGAGTGATAGCCACATAATTATTAGCAAATAAATTATTTCTCTCCTTATTTGAATGATTTTATATAATTTTAGTAAGTTTTTCCCTGCAATGTCAACAACAATGTCAACATTAGACGGTCTCTTTGACATTGTGGAGAATAACTTACCAAAACTGTATAAAATCATTCAAATAAGGAGAGAAATAATTTATTTGCTAATATTTATGTGGTCATCTCTCATGCCACGTGTGCACCGTACACATTGTACCATTGAAGATGCTCTTAGTATTCAGTACAGTTATAGGGGCCACCCCACTCCTTAGAGTCAAACTAAAATCATGAGGATTGCCCAGCTTTGTCACTCATTGATTTATTTTCATAATAGTTTGTAATTTCATTGAAATACAAACTAATCTCTATTTGGAGCTTATCGGTTTTATCCAACTTTTAATTTCACGCGCCAAATTATGCATTTTTTAAAATAAATAAAACTAATTTTCAAGCTCGTGTGATGCACGAGCAGTACACAATTTAGTTCATTGTAAATTGAAAAATTTGATACTAATAATTCAACATTTACCCGATCTTCCCAAAACGGTCCCAATTAATAATAATCCTAAAAAAAATCCAACATTTCTATTCTGTCTTCTTTCTATGGTCCCAATCTAAAATTCACCGGTTGTTAAAGTTATTAATAACAAATACTACTGGTTCTAAATAAAACCGTACATTGTCTTCCTACTTCCCACTTCTCTCTGACCTGACCGGCCAAAATGTCTTCGGAAGTTCTTCCGGCTCCCGATCAAACCCATCCAATATCTCAGTCTCTACCATCATCTCCATCATAGACTCTCTAAAATTCTTAAAGATCTCTCTGAATACAATACTACTGTATATTCCATCTTATTACATATTGTTCCAAAAGTTGTCTACTAACTCACTGATTCGATCAGGTATGCATATATATGGAGTACTAAAAGGTATTGAATACTGCCGACTCTCTGAACACTACCCTTGAAGATCTCTTCTTTCTTCCATTCTTAGACTTTGAAATGTAATGCGGCTCTCTTTCAGGTTTGGAATTTCCTCAATCTCTAGAAGGCAAGTTTACTGCCTTCCTCTTCGGTGAAACAGGGAAGACAAGGCAGTCTTCGTTTTCTGGGGAATGAATCGTGGGGTTGTTCTTGTTTTTGTTGTGTTCTTGTTTCTGCTGTTGGGTTTGTAAAAGAACCAGTAATTTGATAATCTAAGTAAAAATGTTAGAGATTAAAAAAATAATATAAAGGTAATGAACTCCGTCCTTCTCTGTCGTCCTTCTCGGCCGTCCACTCCGTCCTTCTCTGTCATCCATCTTCCCGGTAGAATGAACTTTGCTAAAACAAAGTTTACTTTGTTAGCCGGCAACAGGTAACAGGGACCACTGAACGAAGGATAGATACAATGGTTGGGTTTTTTTAGGATTATTAATAATTGGGACCATTTTGGGAAGACCGAGTAAAGGTCGGATTATTAGTGTCAAATTTTCCTTGTAAATTTGATATTTTGGAATCATATACTCCGTATAATTTAATGTGATGCAAAAGGAAATTAAACTCGATCTAATATAAAGCCGTTTGATAATGCTAAAATTTGCCGAATTGTCTGACTCTACTGTAATGAATTAAATCTAACTGAATGAGCTAAATTGATGGAATCTCCCAAATTATGAAAAAGTAAAATAAAATATACTACCTATTACTTATATAAATAAATTCAAATTTATATGAAAAATATTTAAATTGGACTTCTACATAAGCATCCCGACTAAACATAATTGTTATGAACCCGATTTTAAAGAATTCATAAAAATGTTTCTTAATTAATTTCACATCCTTTATATTACTTCATTAATCATCTAAAAACACTATTTTTAAATATTTCACATTCAACATGTGGTATGAAATAAATCAAATAAGTATTTGTAAATTTTATTAGTGAGATATTACATTTTACTCATTATTTTGTCACATTAACAATGTATAAAAATGGACCATTTTTACAATTTACTCATTTATTTCGTCAAATTGAAAATATCATTAATAAATATATTTTTAATTAAATTGACATTTTCATTTTTCAGTTCTAATTTGGTCCGAAGTAATACAATGTGGAAGATGTCTATTTTATGTATAATAATAATAATAATAATAATAATAATAATAATAATAATAATAATAATAATAATAATAATAATAATAATAATAATAATAATAATAATAATAATAATAATAATAATAATAATAATAATAATAATAATAATAATAATAATAATAATAATAATAATAATAATAATAATAATAATAATAATAATAATAATAATAATAATAATAATAATAATAATAATAATAATAATAATAATAATAATAATAATAATAATAATAATAATAATAATAATAATAATAATAATAATAATAATAATAATAATAATAATAATAATAATAATAATAATAATAATAATAATAATAATAATAATAATAATAATAATAATAATAATAATAATAATAATAATAATAATAATAATAATAATAATAATAATAATAATAATAATAATAATAATAATAATAATAATAATAATAATAATAATAATAATAATAATAATAATAATAATAATAATAATAATAATAATAATAATAATAATAATAATAATAATAATAATAATAATAATAATAATAATAATAATAATAATAATAATAATAATAATAATAATAATAATAATAATAATAATAATAATAATAATAATAATAATAATAATAATAATAATAATAATAATAATAATAATAATAATAATAATAATAATAATAATAATAATAATAATAATAATAATAATAATAATAATAATAATAATAATAATAATAATAATAATAATAATAATAATAATAATAATAATAATAATAATAATAATAATAATAATAATAATAATAATAATAATAATAATAATAATAATAATAATAATAATAATAATAATAATAATAATAATAATAATAATAATAATAATAATAATAATAATAATAATAATAATAATAATAATAATAATAATAATAATAATAATAATAATAATAATAATAATAATAATAATAATAATAATAATAATAATAATAATAATAATAATAATAATAATAATAATAATAATAATAATAATAATAATAATAATAATAATAATAATAATAATAATAATAATAATAATAATAATAATAATAATAATAATAATAATAATAATAATAATAATAATAATAATAATAATAATAATAATAATAATAATAATAATAATAATAATAATAATAATAATAATAATAATAATAATAATAATAATAATAATAATAATAATAATAATAATAATAATAATAATAATAATAATAATAATAATAATAATAATAATAATAATAATAATAATAATAATAATAATAATAATAATAATAATAATAATAATAATAATAATAATAATAATAATAATAATAATAATAATAATAATAATAATAATAATAATAATAATAATAATAATAATAATAATAATAATAATAATAATAATAATAATAATAATAATAATAATAATAATAATAATAATAATAATAATAATAATAATAATAATAATAATAATAATAATAATAATAATAATAATAATAATAATAATAATAATAATAATAATAATAATAATAATAATAATAATAATAATAATAATAATAATAATAATAATAATAATAATAATAATAATAATAATAATAATAATAATAATAATAATAATAATAATAATAATAATAATAATAATAATAATAATAATAATAATAATAATAATAATAATAATAATAATAATAATAATAATAATAATAATAATAATAATAATAATAATAATAATAATAATAATAATAATAATAATAATAATAATAATAATAATAATAATAATAATAATAATAATAATAATAATAATAATAATAATAATAATAATAATAATAATAATAATAATAATAATAATAATAATAATAATAATAATAATAATAATAATAATAATAATAATAATAATAATAATAATAATAATAATAATAATAATAATAATAATAATAATAATAATAATAATAATAATAATAATAATAATAATAATAATAATAATAATAATAATAATAATAATAATAATAATAATAATAATAATAATAATAATAATAATAATAATAATAATAATAATAATAATAATAATAATAATAATAATAATAATAATAATAATAATAATAATAATAATAATAATAATAATAATAATAATAATAATAATAATAATAATAATAATAATAATAATAATAATAATAATAATAATAATAATAATAATAATAATAATAATAATAATAATAATAATAATAATAATAATAATAATAATAATAATAATAATAATAATAATAATAATAATAATAATAATAATAATAATAATAATAATAATAATAATAATAATAATAATAATAATAATAATAATAATAATAATAATAATAATAATAATAATAATAATAATAATAATAATAATAATAATAATAATAATAATAATAATAATAATAATAATAATAATAATAATAATAATAATAATAATAATAATAATAATAATAATAATAATAATAATAATTATTATTATTATTATTATTATTATTATTATTATTATTATTATGATTGATGTTTGATCCGATCTTGTCTGAGACTTAAATTGGTCCAATTAAAAACATCATAAATATGTGAAGATTTCCTAATTTGGATTAGGAATCTATTTCAAAAGTGAAGGGAAATCTAAATTGTAGTTGTAAAAATAAAGAAACAACTATACATGTTTACTTTTTTGACTAGGCTAAACGTATTCATATGTATGTTATGAATTTCCATTTCCATCCTCATAAAGGTAAGATACTTGATCAGAAGTTTTAAATGCTTTCATATATGAACGCCTAATAGTATATTTCATAGGCATGACAATGGGTCGGGGTGGGGTGGGTACTGCAAGACCCGGACCCACCCCGTGACTTCACTGGGTGGACCCACCCCGCCCCGTGACCCGCACGGGTCCAAACTTGTTGACCCATGACCCGCCCCGTTGTAACCTAGTTAGCTAGCATGCATTTCTATTTGTGTGAAGTTGTTACCACTCGAATCTAAATAAAGTTTATCTCTAAATAATTATTAAAAAATATATATTAAATCAAAGTCACAATACGTTTAAAATTTTAAAAATTAAGAAATAAAACGTAGAATTGAATAGTTAATCTATTTATATTAATAATTGAATGTATAAAAGACATTGATAATCTGTCGTTCATCTCATTCAAATACAAATATTACGAAGTAATATATTATAAGACCAAAGAATTTATGATTTATTGTATACGCATGTATGCATGTAGAAGTATTTTTGTGGTTTAATTTAAAAAAAATGTACACTTATATATTGAGCGGAGCGGGTCAGGGCGGGTCGGGGTGGCACAAGTCAATATTAAGATCTAGACCCGCCCCATTGCATGGGCGGGGCGGGGGGACTCGCCCCATTCGTAAGACGGGGCGTGGCGGACCCGCCCCAAATGTCTCGGGCCAGGGCGGGTCATTGCGGGCCGGGTTTTTTTGACATGCCTAAAATATCATTTTCATTTTTAAGTTAAAAAGTCTTGTGGTTATAATTTCCATCATTATCTCAACAACTAAGAAAGAATGGTATGAAGATGCAGAAAAATATGAAGTATTAAAACAATTGCAAATCTAAGGCTTATAATTTTAGCCATTATCGCATTGAGTTTAGAAAACATTAAAAAAAAATAGTTTAGAAAAATAAAATATTACATTTTAGGAAATGGAGCACTATTAGTACTTTTTTATAAAACAACTTTGAAGAACAAAATTAATAGGAATTTGGATGACTTATCTGTTAGGTGGGCAAAACAGAATGTAATAAAAATGAAAAGTATAAAAATAATTAAATAAAATAATGTTTATGTGTACGATGGCTATTTATTATTGTGGTTGCAATTGCTTATTTTAATAACTATCCATATTAATACGGAGTAAGTAATAGATTCTGAAAAAGTTACCAAATAAGATGGATTCTCTCCTACGGTCTTTTGTTTCCATATCAATATGCAATAAAAAATAGAATGTAAAAAAAATTAAAAGGTATAAAAAGTAATTAAATAATTGTTATATATGATGACATGGCAAGATTATGTGACACGCTGTATGCTCTTAAAAAGTTCCTCTTTTAAAATATGTGCGTAAAGTTTTTTATTAAAATTGTCGGGAAAATGAATTGACATGCAGTGGCGGAGCTGTATAGGTGCAAAGGTGTTCATATGAACACCTAGATTTGAAAAAAATAAGCTAGTATACATGTATAAATTTAATTTAATTATGTATTGCCTTTTCAAATTTTAATTATAGAAAATAAATGAACACCCATAGTTTGGAACATAGATCCGCCACTATTGACATGAATTCATCAATTAGTATTTAAAAGAAAATTCAATTTACTGTGGACAGAGCTGTCAAAATTAGTCGAAGTCCGCATGGCTAGCCCATTTCATCTCACTTCACGGTGGGTTAGAATTGTCATTCTTCAATCCTGTGAACTCACCGGTTTCGTGGTGCA